TGTGTGTGTGTGTGTGTGTGTGTGTGTGTGTGTGTGTGTGTGTGTGTCTTCCTCCCCCTCTCTTTCTGAGACTAGTCGGAACAACAAGCAGCCAAGCAAGCCGAGCTTCTTCAAGCAGCGCGGAGCAGGATGGCCTCGACGAGCACAAACAGCAACGAGGGTTCGGGCGAGTCGGAAGAGTCTCTTTCTTCAAGACAAGTCACTGCTGCGCCTCCTCCACGCACGCGCATGGCAGGTCCACGAGGCATCTTGCAACAAGGCGCTCAAGCTCGACGTCAGGCAGGCCAACACAATGATGGAATCGAAAAGACGGTCTGAGAGTCTTGACCTTTGCCTTGTCTCGCCTCGCTCCCGAACCCCTACTCTCTTGATGGACATCATGCGCATTCGATCATGACGCTTGCACCAGCGACTCGAACTCGTGCGTGAGAAGCCTGGACCCGGTGGCAACGAGTCCGGAGCGAGACTCTGAAAAAAACATGTCTGGTAATCGCGGCGGTCTCATGGGCCCCAATGCTATCGAGGGTTTCTTGCCAGGCTATAGAGAGTGCGTGTGCTACTGCATCTGCACTCGCATTTGCAGGCACGCTCTTCACAACCGCAAAGTGGAATCAGACATCGAGACGAGTGTCGCACTTGCGAGGTGTATGTGTATATACAGAGCGCGGACGAAGCGCTCGAGGCTGAGATTGAATTCACCGTGTGCATGCAGTATTGGTGCTGATTTGAGGTGGTTTTAGGTGGATATGCAGGAGGGGATATCATGTCCGGTCGCAATTGGCTGCTCGCCTCGATTTGCAGCAACGTGGGTCAAGTGCGGCGGCAATCAGTGTAGAATTACACCTCTGCTCCGACGTAGAACAGGCGATAATCCTGCGGATTTTCAAATTTGGACATCAAAGAATGCTCGCTTTCCCTGATGCAGGAACTGTACGACTTGCTCACCTCTCCTCCGCGCCAATCAAAGCCCCACACTCCTCCATCACCGGCTGCTTCGTTTGGTCGCCAGGGATGAGGGCCAACGGCTGTAGGCGCGTAACCCCCGGCTTGAGGCGCTACAAGAAGGGACCCACAGAGGTACTGCCAAGGATTGCTCAGCAGTCAGCAAGAGTCTGTTGGCAAGACCTGAGCAGATCTGGACTCACCTCGTGTTCCACCTCAGCGCTGCTGCATCTTTCACCCAACGTTGGTCTAAGTCGAGAGTCGAGCACAGGGCCAGACACCTTCAAGTCGTCCAGATACGCGGGTGGCGGAGGGCTTAGGGAAAGCTCCGCATCTTTCGAGCACTGGAAAGGAAGTTCCACTTCTTTGCGCACTGTGACGCGCTTCATCTCTATACGCGACGGTAGAAAAGCGACGAGAGTGACGCTGACGTGCAGCGTGACCTGATGTAGCCCTTCGCCATTGCTTTCGCGGCTTGATGGTCTTGTAGCGCTCGAACTTCCCAGGATATGCGCTGCACCGGCCGTCCTCGCCCTTTCCAAACCAACAATCCGCGCCCAAGCTGTGACGGACTGCGGCGTGCTGGTCCATTTTAGCGACGCTATAGGACGACAAGAAGTCAAATTCGCGGGAAGCGGAAGCGGAAGAATCTCCGTCGCAGCGCCCTTCGAGAAGAGAGCCAAGCTCGCTTGGATGACATGCTGTGTACCGCTCGGCGGACTGTTCGCGCTTCTGCTAAGCACACTGGACATCTGACGTTTTGGGCGTCTCGGTTCTTGCATCCCTCTTTGCACGCCTTCGACAGCTGTGATCTCCTGAGAGAAGCCAGCATCTCGCAGGGTGACCCCTTCATGTTGTGACAGAGTGTTTGGCGTAGCGTAAGAAAAGTCCTCCTCCTCCTCGCTCTCATCGCTGTCGGATTCGGCAAGCACCGCTGCGAGCCGTTGGGCGATTTCATCCTGTTCACGAGCTTCAAATGAAAGTCCTTGCGGCGCAGGAGCATTCGGCAATCGCTTGTCTCGGGATCCTCGGAAGTCTCTGGCTGTCGGAGATCGCTGCGATCTCTCAGCACCAGCTTCAGTCGGGTCCCACTTCACCGCATGGGGTGCGGGGCTTGTCTGTCCAGATGCCGAGGCTTGCCGTGACCCCGCTCGTACCAAAGGCACCACATCCTTGTTGCCAGTCTCTTCCTCTCGAATGGTAACGCACGCATGCACCGGCTCAAATCCAACCCAGGAGGTCTTCGCCTTCCTGAAGGAGGCTAGGCCGTCCACGGACAGATGCTTGTTGTGCGCGTGGCCGCTTCCAGAATGACCTAGATTTGTCCTCGAAGATTTGTCCTCGAGCCCAGCGCCACTGGACAGGTCCATTTCGCGCACGTCTGAATCGCTGACTCGAATGACAACTGCACGTTTGCCGAAAGATACGAACAATGACAAGTCTGCGCCTTCCCAGCCTTTTGGGCCGGCTGCTCCACTGCCATGAAGAGGACGCAAGGTGTTCGAGACATTTCGCGTCTGATGTACGCTACCATGGCGTCGTTGAGAATCGGGTACGAGAAAGTCTTCACTCGAGCCCACGGCTTCGGCCCCGGCTTGAGTGCTGCAGTATACAAACGATGCAGCTTTTGGCGTAAAGGTTGGCGGACACCATAGCTCCCGCACGAAGCTCCACGACCGACTGCCCGATCCTCGTCGAGGCGGAGTGGCTTCGAATACAAGCAACGACTTGGCGGTGCCGACGGCGAGGTACCAAGTTCCGGCTGCCTTTGCGCCTTTGCTGGCTTCGATGACCGAGAAGAACAGGGCGCCTTTGGAATAGGCAGCCATGTCTCTCTCCTTGCCCTTGGATGCCGCAGTTAGCCCATCTACAGAGCGTCGCGGACCGAGAGTCTCGTCCGCAAATAGCGTTGCGTAAGAAGCCGCGACCGTTGTTTCGTCTGCCAGCGTCCCGTGCGTGGTCGCATGGGGACCACTAGCTGGCATATTGATAGGAATAGATCGCTTTGCTAGTTCCAGCGCTGTCCAGTAGCCCTCCGACACAATAGCGGCGTCAGCTCTTCCAGCGGCGTTGCTAGAGCTTACAGCGCCTTCGGCAGACTCCAGGCGCATTGTGCTGTCAACCGACGCGAAGCTTTCTAACGAAAGACCAGAAGCTCGGCGGCTTCTAGAGGATGCCAATGGATTCATCTCTGCTGATTTCTGAGCTTCAAGACTAGAGTCAGCAACAGAAAATGGATCCACATCTCCGTCGCTATTACCTCGTCTTGCGGAACGAACATTTCGCGACGAGGACGGCTCTCCCAACGAAGCCCAAGCTTGCCGGATGCGAGACGACAGTCTTGATTTGCCGTGGCGTTCAGCGGCGCCCTTGTCGTCTGCTGTGCTCAAGTCCAACGGTTTCCCACCCTGAAGAGCAGCCCACATACCACAGCTGGCTCAAGTCAGCATCAGCGGCCACAGTGCAAAGCTTCAGACCGTGATACTCACAGTAGCATCGAGGGCAAAGGAGACGACCCTTCGAAATTCATCCAAATTCCACATCTTCACGATGCCGTCCTTTGGCGGTGGTGGCCCCGAGCTACTTCCGCCACCTCCAGTCCCAAACCGCCCGGCTCGCATCTGAGCTTGAGTCTCGATGCTAGGCGCCGAGGAGAATGCGCTGGAATGCCCCAAAGAACTGGTGGATCGATTGTATGAGTGCGCACGATATTGGTGCGGCTTGCTTGGCGCAGCGCATAGGGCCAGAAGGATGTCTTGCTCTGTAGAGTTACCGTTATCTGATCGCGCAAAGAAAGCTGCGTTGGATGATGTCTGAGCTGCCGAAGGGCCTTCTGGAGGTCGCGAGCTGAGGATGGCGAGTTGATGAACGCCCATACCATTCCAAACCTGTCACTCTTACAAGACTCAGCGGCGAGCCAGCAGGTACCGCTTCGCACCGTGCCGAACTCACTGGTAAGCATCTGACGTCACCATTCCAGCCGCTAGCCGCATCATCGTGGCCCAGTCGGCCCAATCGTCCCGAACGCTGCGAAGCGCTGCGTGTCTGAGCTACCCAAAGGCCTTCGTTCAAGCCGATCAGCAGTACCTTGCGACGAGGGTGGCGCGCCTGCCGATTGCCATCCAGCCGAAGATTGCTAGTCGCCTTTGGATTGTCTAAGTCGAGATAAGCGGCACAGAGCGGCTGGGAAGGAAGGTGTGGGATGAAGCGCAAGCCATATTGGTGCATGTGCAAAGGCGGATGTACGGTAGGCTCCTCAGTATCCTGAGAGTCCGCGAGCTTGTAAGATGCAGGTCGGCAGTCTCTCGAGTGATCAAGGCTCAGATCGTGGGTACTTACATCTCCGTCTTGTTCGGTTTCATCATCGTCGATCGCGTTTGGATCATGCACTCCAGCGCCCCAGCTCTTTTTGCGATTGACGTTCGTGGCGGGATCATTCATTCCAGTCCTCTCGTAGTGTCGATCCAGCGCTCTCTTCTCTAGCCATCCTCTCCAGCGAGGAAATCTTCCGCCACCGGGAGCCGCTGGCGGTGCACCACGCCCTCGGCCTCTGGCATTGGCTCTAACACCGCTCGTCTCACCAAAGAGTGGAGGTGGGGATCGCTGAAAAGCGTGCGTGTCGTATGCTGGTGGCTGCATGATTCCAGACTGTGTCGGGCCATCAAGGGCGGACGGCGAGAAGCGGGCACATTGCTCGTCGGTAGAGGTTTCAGGTAGGTAGGTTGGTCCCGTCGGCTGTTCCTGCTCGTCTAACTCTGACGTGGTTCTCCTCGCTTGATCTGAACGCGCATATACGGCCGAGATGTCGTGAGGAGCCCGACTGGAGACTGTCGCACCTCCATCACCGGAGTCTATAGAGTGATCTAGCCAGTCTAGCGCTTGGCGCGCGTCAGCAAGAGGGCTATCCTGGACTGACCAAGTCGCACTCCGAGCTGAAGCGTGAGCCATACCAATCTGTGTCCTGCTAGATTCCGCGGCGTCTCCCTTCGTGTTTGATGGTATTGGAAGGGTGGCACTGGTCTTAGGTACGTGTGGAAGGGGTTTGAGCGAGGGACTGGGCCGCCTAGAGATATTAGCTCCAAAAGGCCAGTTGTTGTTCGATCCTGACCGAGCGTGAGTGACTGAGCCTCTCGGCTCAGCTTGCATGCGCGAATCCAAGCTCGATTTGCGCGAAGCTTTGCGTGCCACTGATATGGTGGACGCTGATGAGGATGAGGAAGACGATTGTAGGTCAGGATGCAGATCGCGGCTTGAAGAGAAGAGCTTGCCGCTGGGGATGGCAGGGAGCGCAAAGCGCGACTGCTCTCCAGTGGACGACGACATGGTGCGCTAGGTCCTCTACGCGAAGCAGTTCAGAATCAACGACGAGATGAGCAAATGAGCACGCGCGAGATGAGCGGGCCGCCTGGCGCGCTGACCACTCGCAGGTTCGTGTCCTCGAGTGCGGTGGCAGAAAAGGGTGGCTGGCTCAGCGATCCCTAATCTTTCTACTCAAGGACTCCCCATTCCGCACCACGACGGCCAGTGGAGTGGCGAGGAGTGATACGATGAGGTGGCTGACAGCGAAGCATACGAGTTGCGGAGCTCCGCAGGTCGGCTGGACGTCTCCTGCGGCGGTCGAGGTGGTCATGTTGCGGCAGCTGCAACAGCTGATCCTATGCAACCAGCAGCAGCGTTCCTAGACTCACGCATCCTTGCGGACCAAGGCACAGCCTTACGGCCAACTCCAAGTCTGAGTCAAGTGCTCAGCATATTTTGGACACGTGATTGGACGCGAGTGCGCAGCTTGCCGTGCTCGGCAAACGATACGACGTGTGCCTGTGCCAGGCCAGCATGAGCTAAATATATGTAGGAGCTGTACAGGGGGTTCGTTATTCACCTTATTCGTGATTCGTATGCTCCTTTGAGGCAGGTTTTGCGATGTAAGTCAAGCGCCTACAGAAAGATTGACACACTGCTCCAACTCATACACTATGGCTGCAAGGCCAACTTTGAAACAGAACGACGACGTTGCAGTCTGAGTCAAGAGTAGTCATCATCCTCCCTGCCTGTTGTGGCGAGCCATTCACGTGACTCAAATTCTTTCGAGAGATGGAGGAAGAAGTCATGATTTCCCGTCAGCGACCACCATCCCCAGATGCTACTCGTTAACCTTGTTGGCTACCAGTCACTGAGTAGCATTTCGAGCCCAGCAACTTGACCAGCATGGACCAGTCATACGCTCCTGGACTGACTGGGCGGAGAGTCACGAGCTGCAAATCTGCAGCCAGCGTAAGTCGATCTGTCGATGGCCGAACCAAGCGCACTCACACTCTTGACTGTGACTCAAGACTCGCCGAGTGCAGTCAGAGTGCACACGCCGATCACGTCGTCGGACGTACTGTACAGTACAGCATACAACATCCAAACACTAACGGTGTCGGTCTTCGAGTGTCGCAACCCTTGCATCGGGTGATGGTGTCAGCAGCTGATGTGTGCTGCATGGAGAGCGCACGAGCAGTCTTGTCAGCCTTTCTGCTGCACGAGGTAGCGCATGCTGCTGCAGCTAGCACTTCAGCAGCATCATCATCAGATGACTCCAAGCGCACGCGCACGCGCAGGCGCACCAGCACTCTCGCAGCTTGCAGAGTACGGTCACCTTGATCAAGATTCAATGTGAATCACGAATGAGTGCTGGTGCTGCATATGCAAGATGGTGAGTGGCGAGTGTGTGCTTGCGCTGCCGATCCCTGCCGTTTTGAGTTCACACGAATCTGACAGCGCGTGCTGCGATAGCCTGCTTTAGTGTGAGTGAGGCGTTATTGGTATTTATTGCTAATCATGAATACATGAATAAATTGCCGACACAGTAGTACCATCATGCTGTCTTGAGTACAGTCGTGAGTACGCAGCACGCGAGCGCGCCGCCAGGACGATTGCATGGAGGCGTTGCGATCGATGGAGCTGCCATACAATATGGCTGCTGCTGCTGCTGCTGCATGCTCGATCATGCGTTGCGATGCTGCCGCATGCATGCTGCATGCTCATCGAAAATCCATCCACGGCAGCCGGCTGCACGCGTCTGAGCGCTTTATTGTAGTTTTGAGTCAGAGTGCGACTTTTGGCGCGCCGGATGACGCTTGCGCGCGCGGCGCGCCGCGCCAGATCATCTCCAACACCATCACACCATCACAGAAACGCAGCGTGCCACTGCACGGCCACACCGTCTGTTGCCGCATCACGCGCTCATCCATAATCACTCGTGACTCCGTCGTGCATGATTGCAAACGCAGTCGCCCTGCCACATAATCGAGGCAAAGGCGCATCCATCATCAGCGCCTTTCACCTGTTCCTCTGAGCCAGTTTGCTCTGCTTCCAACGCGGACGCACTGGACACTTGCAACAGCTTACGTCCTGGCCTCCATCTTTCACGGCAACATGTCGCGCGATCGACCGCCCGGCGAACCTTCATTCGCAGCACCTTTGACGCCGCCACGAGGTGCGGGTACGCTACCCACCCCGCCAACATCTCACATCGAGTTGCCCGGCGACAGACCGCCTCATGGCAGCGCTGCCCACTTTGCCAGTGGCAGCAACAACGATGCGCCGCTATCGTCGGACGCAGAGCAGGCGACTGACGGAGAACCAGATGCAAGCCCGTCGGCCATCGTCATGTCACGTCGACAGAACCGGCTAAGCCAGCGTGGATCGGCGGCCAACATTGAACTTCAACAGATCGTCTCGCCACTACAAGCCAGCCGCAGCTCGCCTGCGGGTCGAGCCTCGCTAGACAAACCCTTTTCCGACCAAGAAGTGACCATGTCCCGATCAGCATCCGTGCGCAAAGCGCGCCGAGTGGGTAGAAATGAGAGTCGCCGCGCGAAGAGCGAGTTCGACGTGGCGTCGGACTCTGACCACTCCAGCTTCTCACACGCTGCAAACGAAGACTTGCGCAGTCGCACGCCTAGTCCTATACTTGGAAGCTCTCGCGGTCATTTGAGTGCTCAAGGCGCATTTGGACCGAGCGTGCAGAATGTCGATGCGGTTCTATTCGGCGAAAATGACGAGGAAGGGAGCCGACAAGAAGTCGAATCCTTGCTGGACGAGCTTCGTCAGATGAGTCTTGCCACAGGCGGAATCGGAAGAGAGTCCAACATCGTCAATATCGTGAGTAGGAATCGCAATTGTCATGGCAACCAGCATGCCGCGTGCTCATTCCCTGTCCGCGGTCGGCAGGGTTCTCAACTTGGCGAGAAGGCGCTCAGACTGCACGACACTGTGAGTGCAGCGCTATGTAACTTTACACGACCTCATTGCCGTACATCTTCTCACGCTTTTCCGCCCCTCCTGTTTCTCGCCGCAGCTGCACCATGTGCGTCTTCGAGCCATCGCTGCACTCACATCTCAGCGCACGAAAGCGCATGCATCTCTCGTTGCTATGCAGCTCTCATCCGCTCGTCAAGCTGCGGAGCTGGATGATGCCAGGACACAAGCTAGGATGCTCGGCAGCAAATTGGCGCGTGCAGAAGCTCGCGTTGAGGAATCGATTGAGGAGGAATTGCGCTGGACCCACTCAATGAGGCATCATGGCAGCGCACTGGCGCAGCAGCAGGCTGCAAGACAGGCCGCGCGCAGCAATGGTGCTCAAGCAGACGTCTCTCCCAATGCGCCTGGCTTGGCGGCACCAATCGACCTCGAAAGTGTCAAGCAATCCCCCAAAAGTCCTGCTGCTGCTCTAGCGAGCGCCACTGCCCCACAGGCCGCTTCTTCTTCTTCTACGACTCTCTCAGGACTTGGCATTAGTGCTGGTGGTGCACCTGCTGACTCTGCCGCAGCCACGCCTGCAATGTCCAGCACGACAGACGCTGAGGTCGATTCCCCATTGACTGTCTTGACCCGCAATTGCAACAAGCTCAGCTCCGACAAACGCTATCTGAAGGCGAAGTGGCGCGAGGAAATCGCCCGGAACGAGCGACTCGAGCAGGAATTACGTGCTTTCCGTCCGCTCTTCTTGCAGAGCAATCGAGCGTCCGCCGGAACAGCCTCTCCACTCCCGGCGTCGAGCCACACGCCAAAGCGCTCAAATTCAAGTCGTCGTCGCGGTACTGGGATGGGAGATGCCGAAGCGGAGCTGCTGCTTGCTACAGCACGACGCATGCGTGAGACTAGGCGAACGGATATTCGTCGATCGCCGCAAAAGGCAGGCGCCACAAGAGAGCTGACGACGCTGGAAGACGGTCGTCCAACGACGCCGCCACGGACTTCGCAGCCTTCTCAACCCAGCACCCCGTTCACCCCACGTACGCCACGCACCGTGCCTGTCTTGCGTACTCCTGGCAGAGATGAGGCTGGCTCATCAAATTGGGGTCAAAGTTCCAGCAGACAAGACAGTGCTGCAGCTAGCAACGCATCACCAATCAAAAATGCGGCGAATGTACCTGGTTCAGCGAGTAGCGCGCGTGGCATCGATGAGCTACTGCACGCTGCCCAGACTGTCATGACACCAAGCGAACGACCAGCAGCGCACCAAACTCCACGCCGCGGACTCGCTTCGCTCAGTGCGGGCTATGGTGACAGAGGCTACTTCCTTGATGCGAAGTCTCCCAAGATGAATGTCTCTGCGCTGTTGAGCGAAAACGACGCCATCAACGAGAGTCCCAAGCGGCGCCGCATGTCCACATCCACGCACGATGCCTCTGACGTGAGATTCGCAGGTGGACAGGGCATAGAAATCGCGGAGTTGGCTTCCTCGCCTGAGGGTCGCCCTGCACAGCCAGCACATCGTTCACAGCACGTCAAACTCGCCGAGCCGCAGCACGAAGCTTCGACCGCGCAGTCATCTGGACTATCAGCGCTTGACTTGCTTGCAGACCAAGCTGCTGCTTCTCAACAACCCAGTCAGAGCTCTGACCACTCGCGATCAGGGGGACTGAGCGACGCCCCAGCATCAAGCTCTGATGAAGGAATGATCGAAGAAGAAGGCGTGGAGCACGGCGATGAAAGATGGTTCTCTCAGTCACACCATGGTGCCTTTTATGGAGGTCCACCCGCTTCGCAATCTTCCGCACGGTACGCCTATGGACCAGAAGGTGGCAGACCTGGCTGGCCCGCCTCACCAGAGAACATTCGCATGGCGAATGTCCATGGATCCGCCCATCACGGCTTGCCCTACGTGCCGCGCGCTGTCTCGCCTACGCGCGCAACACCTTCCAAAGCGGCATTGGTTGCGCTACAGGCGAGTCCGCCGAAGAGCAAAGGTGGAAACACAAGTCCGGACAAGCGCCTGCCTTACATTCGATGGAGCGAAGAGGAGGATAGGCGGCTGAAGCGCGCGATCAGCGAGTACGGCCAAAGGTGAGTGGATTGTCACGTATGATGACGTCGCAGCAAGCTAGGGCGTCGAATAACCGAATCGAGCTTACCTGTTTTCCCCCTCTTTGTGCCATCCAGATGGGAACAGGTCGCACGCAGTGTTGGGACTCGATCGTACCATCAGTGCCGTCAGCGCGCGCTCTTGATGCGGCGCAAAACTGCTCAAGCAGGAGGCTCAGACGGCGGTCCTTCGCTAGCGCCCGCGTCTTCCATAGCCTCTGCCGGTCATCCTTCGCCTTAAGTTGTACGCCCGCCACGTTTCTCAAACCCATCGCTTTTTCCTCCTCTCATATCTGAGTGTTTCGCGAGACTCTCGAGTTCATACCACACATCAGACCAAATGTCTTGTCGAAAGCCTCGGACTCCGAACACGTGTGAGACGCAAACACAGTACGCGAATGATACACACAGCAGGCTTGCCACACTGAAGATATTCCGCCATATGCGACCACGTGCCCCCCAACTTGTACTGTACCTTCAGAAACACCTCTCAGGCTCCTCGAATGATCATGCACCAAACAATCCGCGCGAAATTTTCCTTGGTACTTTATTTGAGCTCTGTGCGCTAGCAGTCAAGCCGCGCACTCACGTCTTCATCGTGACCTGACACACTCGGCATTGCCGACGGACTTCACACATCGTTCGTGTTCGATTGGTCGCCTGCCGCGGTGTGGTCGTCGGCGCACTGCTCTGCGTTGCAGAATCTCACGCTGAACAATTTGACAGCAGAGCGCTCAACCGCGCGTCTCATTTCCTCATCTTTGCATTTACCTGCCGCATCTGGACTCGCCAAGAGAGAGCGAGTGAGAGAGAAAAGCGAGTTTATTACACAAATTTGCCAGAGACGAACTCTTTGCTTTCCCCATCTGGAAGATCGTTTCCGGGAATAAAGTGCCTTTCCACCCCATCTTCTGAAATGTCCACCATGCGAATCGTACCGCCTGAAGAGCCGTCTCTGCGCATTGCAAGCGATAGCGCTGGAAGTAAGAGACGAGAACGGGTCGGAGTGCGCGTCGTGTCAGCAGGCTGGTGATGCCTAGAGCGAGTGACGCTAATGATAGCATCAGACTGCGTGCACCACTCACCCTTCCTGACGAAGTCTATCGTCTGCTCCTTGCCCCATCCCGGTCTCCAGGTCGAGTCGCAAAAGCCATAAATGTATGTTGATCCGGAACCTGCAAAATGAAGCGAGATGCGGTCAGCATCATCGCAGTTCAGAGAGGCGAGGGCGAGAAGGACGAGACCTTGCAGCAAAACTCACCTCCGATGGCCCAAGGTTGTTGAAACTTGCCGCCTCCAAGAGGAATGTTGTAAACGCCACCGCCATTCCTCTTGTCCCAACCGGCAACGATGATTCCAGCGCTCAACCTGTCCTTGTTCTGATAGATGATCTCTTGAAAGAGCTGAGCTGCAGTCTCCACTTTCGGCTGCTCGTCGTGCTGAACTGCCACCATGCCCAAATTGTAAGACACTATATCCGCTACAGCTTGAGTGTCCGCCGCCGAACCTGAACGGCAACAGTAGATCCGGTCCGTGATGTGCGTCAACTTGTCCGTCACTCGATTCGCCTACGTTGAGCGCGCGGAGGTGGTGAGCAGCCAGCAATCTTGTGGAATTTTCAACTGCGCTTAGGAGACTCACAATGTACGATCCCATAGTTGTTCGGCTGTCAGCACCCATGATGACGCCCTTGTCATACACGACGGCCATGATGGACGTCTAGCGAGCGAGTCAGGGAGGAGTGGCGGTCGCCAAGTCAGCATCACCGCGTGATCGTCCTGAAAGAATGACTGGGAGCCGTTCACTCTCTAGCTCGCGTATATGGGTCTGATTTGTGCGCCCTCATATCCGCCTGCCTGCAATAGGCTTACGTCACTCACACCAAGATCCATCTCTCCCGACTTGAGCCTGTTCACATCCACAGCTTGCATCTTGGCACCACTGTTCGCTGCAGAAAGACTTGGCTCTAAGAATGCCGGAATGAAAAGAGCTTGCTTCTGATATCGTTCGGTCGCGGTGGACGTGATGAAGCAGATGCGCAACGTCGAGCCTCTTTGAGATGTGAGAGGTGAGTTGCCAAGATGCTGGGCGGAACAGCTCGATTTGACTCGGCAGGGAGCTTTGTCTCCAACTGCTGCTCCTCTGTGTCAGATGCACAGGCAAGGCTGATGCAGATTAGAATGAGGATGACTCACGACTAGACGTGTGGTGTGTGGATCAGCATGCGTGTGGTGAAGGAGGATGACGATGCGAGCTGCTGCATGCATCACCAATCAACCACATCTCAACTCGAACGACCATAGAAATAAGCGCTGCACCGTGCGCCTTGCGTGCGTCGCCCAGGCCGCGCGTATACTGTACACTCACGACTGACTCAAGACTCAACTGCATGCTACTCGACATGATAGTCACGTGTTGAAGGCTTCCAGCGAACCAAAACGTCCGTGCGAGCCGGGGGGCGGCGCGCCTCGGCCCGCCGTGGGCTGTGGTGAATGGTGAAGTGTGAGTACACGTACCTACGTGTAATGCGCCCAATCGAGTGCTTATAATGCGCAGCCATACATGAAGCTCGCCGTGTATAGGGAGAAGCTTCCCACTCATCTTCCACGTGAATGCGTGATCTGCTCCGGACAGTCCGCTCAACATCGACACATTGATTGGCTCATCGCAATCCTAGAACCACGGCACGGTTCGCCTCAAGCAATCGTCAAGTCCATAGGGCCTCTTCGGCGACGACCCCCGTCCAATAAGCATTCAGCTCCAGCACTGAAAGGGACCCGATTCACTCGCACAAGCTCCAAGATGGCAGGATTCTCGAGAGGAGGAGGCGGAGCGGGCTACGATAGGACAGCATATGGTAGTTCTGGCAATCCCACGCCAGGCGGTGGGAGATCTGCGTACGGGGCTAGTGCAGGCGGAGGCGGAGGTGCAGGGTACGCACCTGGCGGAGGAGGAGGAGCAGGATATGGAGGGGCAGGATACGGATCTGGGGGTGGAGTTGGAGCGGGCTACAGTTCTGGAGGAGCAAGCGACGCGTACGGCGGACGTTCAGCTCGTAAACCTGCTCCTTCGGGGTATCCTGACGAGAAGGCACCCTACAACCCTTCGCAGCATGCAGCTGCTGGCGGAGGCGGAGGCGCATCAGGCCACCTGGTAGTCAAGTGTCCAGAACCGCTCATCTTGTCCAACTGTCTGGCCGTGAATGCGCAAGAATGGGGATCGACGCAGTACGTCATCATCGACGGTCGTTTCGTCTTTACAGCTGCGTGAGTGTGGAGGGTGTTGGGTCTCTGCAGATTCACGATGCTTGGCTGAACCACGCGGCTCCCTCGCAGTGCGGACAAGACTGGTCAGGTGCAGGCGGGCACGATCGGCACAGCCCTGCTTCAACGGCAATGGGCAGGTCTCAGCGCTCAGGGCCACGTAGTCAGAGCAGAACCTTACGATCCATATTCCCAGGGACCAGCCGTTTATCTCGCCAGTCTAGACGTCGAGGTTGGATTTTTGCGCAAAGGCACCGAAATTGCAGAGGTGTTTGATGCAGATGAGATGCAGCGCAACTGGGTACGGGTGAGTGATGAGACGTGATTGGGAAGGTAGCGTTCCCACAGATCAGTTTCAGCTTAGCAACTGATTCCGCCTCACGCTACGCTTCTGCGCAGGCCTTTGAGCACCACATCTTCTCCATCGGCCAATTGCTCGTCTTCGAGTTCCATGGCCAGAACCTCAAAGCCACAGTCACTGGAGTGGAAGTGGTCGAGACACAACCTACGAGGCAAGGCGCAGGTGCTCCACCGCCACCTCCCTCGCAGCATCGATCCGACAAGGGACTCCTCATGCGTGAGACCTCCGTCAACTTTATCAAGGCTGGCGATTCTGGTGTCAAGATCAAAGCTAGTGGCAAGCGGTGAGGCTAGCTGAACCTGCAAGTCAAGTGCGCAAATGAGCTAATCCCTCGACTCTTGCGCGTCGTACAGAGCACCGCCCAACGCTATCCTGCAGCCAAACTTCAAGTTTGAAGACATGGGCATTGGAGGATTGGATTCGGAATTCAGCGCCATTTTCCGCAGAGCTTTCGCATCTCGCATCTTCCCACCTGCACTGGTGGACAAACTCGGCATACAACATGTCAAGGGTATCCTCCTCTACGGACCGCCAGGAACGGGAAAGACGCTGATGGCTAGGCAGATTGGCAAGATGCTCAATGCCAACGAGCCAAAGATTGTCAATGGACCGGAGATTCTGAATAAGTATGTCGGTGCTAGTGAAGAGAACATTAGAAAGCTCTTTGCTGATGCTGAAAAGGAAGTGAGTGCGAAACGGAGGGTTTAAAATCTGGAGTGTTGTACTCAGATGACTGCACTGACGCGCCCGGCTCCACTCTCACAGTACAAAGCCAAAGGTGACGAATCCGGTTTGCATATCATCATCTTCGATGAGCTGGACGCCATTTGCAAGCAGCGTGGTTCTTCTGGAGGGGGAACCGGGGTCGGTGACTCTGTCGTCAACCAGCTGCTTTCCAAGGTGCGTGTACAGATCGACGACGCAAGCGTGAATGTATTGCGCGAGGCTAAGGCGCGCGCTCCTGGTTGCTCTCAGATGGACGGTGTGGACCAACTCAACAACATCTTGTTGATCGGAATGACCAATCGCTTGGACATGATCGATGACGCGCTCTTGCGTCCAGGTCGTCTAGAGGTGCACATGGAGATTAACCTACCGGACGAGCACGGTCGTCGACAGATTATTTCGATTCAAACGAGCAAAATGCGAACGAATGGGGTGATGGATGATGATGTGGACCTAGCGGAGCTGGCCGCCTTGACTAAGAACTTTTCGGGCGCAGAGATTGCCGGTTTAGTCAAGAGCGCCACCAGCTTTGCGTTCAATAGACATGTCAAGGTGGGAACGATGGCGGGCATCTCGGACGATGTGGAGGGCATGAGGGTCAACAGGGACGACTTTTTGCACGCTTTGGACGAAGTCACTCCTGCTTTCGGTGTGGCCGAAGAGGAATTGCAACAAGTCGTTTCGAACGGCATCATGCATTACGCACCTCATATTGACGTGAGTATTGGAGACTTGGCCGAAACGAGCATTGTGAATCTGAACATATCTGAGTTTCGCGTGCAGGTCATCCTTCGCGACGGCCAGCTGCGCGTTGAACAAGTCCGTACTAGTTCCAGGACGCCATTGGTTACCGCCCTTCTGCACGGTGAGCATAACATTGGAGTACTGCTGTTGTGACTGCGTGTGCCGGCGGCTGACCCCTAAATTTGGCTTTGGTGTATTCTCAGGTCCTCCCGGATCTGGAAAGACTGCGTTGGCGGCAACCATGGCCATGGCCTCTTCCTTTCCCTTTATCAAGCTTGTCTCACCCGAGAATATGGTTGGGATGGCAGAATCGCAAAAGATCGCATACCTCAACAAGGTCTTCAACGACTCGTACAAGTCTCCCCTCAGCATCATTGTGGTGGATAGCATCGAAAAGATTGTCGAGTGGGTGCCCATCGGACCTAGATTCTCCAACCCGGTGCTGCAGGCTTTGAGCGTCCTGCTGGGTAAACGACCGCCAAAGGTGAGCACGTAGTCGCTGCGTGACGCGTGACGCTCGCTGCGCTGCCGTCTTGCTGACACACATCTCAATCCGCAGGACCGACGTCTTTTGATTCTTGCAACCACGTCAAACAGGCCCATGCTGGTCGATATGGACCTAGCAGAAGCTTTCCTCGCCGACATTCGTGTTCCTGCAATCACGAGTTTGCGAAGCGTGGATCACGTCGTCAGGGAGACTGGCTTGTTCAGGGATCAATCAGAGCAGGACAGGCTCATGGGTCTTTTGAGATCCGCTGGTCTGGAGGATTCGAACAGGCTCAACATTGGTATCAAGAAGGTGTGTAGATTTGGCCGTCGCCTAGGCGGGCACAAATGATCCCCCCCATCCCCCCTTCACGGTGATCATTTACGGCTGACATCGTTGATCGCCGGCTTGATCCTTTCCTTTTAGCTTCTTTCGGAAATCGAAATGGCACGCCTAGACGAAGATCCGGCAGACAAGCTCACCGCTGCTCTCAATAGCCTATAGACGGTATCGCACCTCGGCAGCGGCTGGCCTGCCCCCCCCCCCTCACGCCTACCTCCCAACCTAGGCTGGCACCTCGTACTTGCCCGAATTCAATGATCATTTACTTTCCTGCCAAACCGAGTCTTGCGGGACGCGCATG